TTCTACCTTCTCCTCTCTGTCAACGCTCTCTGGTTTCATTTAAAAGAGTCGATCATCAGATATTGTCCAAGATTAACCTTCAGGGTGGATATATCCACGTCATCATTTACCCAAAATGCTTTGTGTGTAAATAAAATGGCTCTGTCCATGTTAAAATTTTTATAAAACTAAACAGCCTACAGTATTTTTACTGTCTTTATTTTACAGTTCAAATATATGTTTATCAAATAAAGTCTAATGTTACATCTAATCAGGGATCCCTTTAAATGAGCCTGTGTGCTCCTAAAGTTCCAAATAAATAATTATTTTCCTTTCTTTGCTTTTTTCAGACTTTCCGAGATTTGAAAAAAACGACTCAGTTTTAGACGTTTTCCTTGGATCGGTTGGAGTTTTATTTTATTTATTATTTTTTAAAATCTGTGCATTTATAGCACGACGTGGTTTTGTACTTGTGTCGTGTGTAATACAGATGTCTCTTGTGTTAAAGGGGTTTCTGGATCGTTCTCCTGTTTTCTTTGGTTTTTACAAACCTGGCTCTCTGGATTTGCGCTGTTTGAACACACCTCTGTTGTACCTGGCTGGAATCCTCTCCATCTTCCTTCTGAGTCTCATCTTGGTGGTCCGCAGGTCAGCGATCCGTAGCAGTGCTGCAAAGAGAACAAAAACAATTTTCATTTGTTATTTTTCTTACATGTGGCTCATCTCTTACAGAACAGTTGTTGGCTACAAGCACACCTGGATGCTCGGGAAGCGGTACAGCATGAACGTCAGCTTTAAGATCTTCTGTGGCTGGGATTTCAACATTCAGGATCCATCAGCCTCTGCCCTCAAGCACAGCTTCATCCGAAACGACCTCAAGGTGAATGAGCAGACATCTGCATATATGAGGTCGTTGATTACACTTACAGTATGTTTGTGGACTTATTGCCCAGCACTGAAGGCAAATGTAAAAACATCTGCATCTGTTCCTCAGCTGTTCCTGGAGGAACAGAGCTTCTCTTTGCGTAAGGCTCAAAGGACATTACGACAGAAGGTTCACCTCTATCTGCTCAGGTGTATCCTCAACCTGATTGTTATTTCTCTGCTTGGAGGAGCGTTTTACCTCATCTTCTTGTCAACAATTTCCCTCCAAAAAGTAAGGAATGGACCCTGAGAATGAATTCCCCACAATTATAACAATGAATTTGCTAAATAGTTTTTCCTGTGTGACTGTGGTCTTTAGAATGAAGAGCATCACTTGTTGGTCAAGCTGGTTCTTCAGTATATTCCTCCGTTCACAATTACATTTGTAAACCTTGTCCTCCCTCACATCTTCCGCAAGATCTCCTCTTTTGAAGACTACTCCTTGACTGTGCAAGTGAATACCACGCTTGTGAGGTAGGAAGAAGAAGATGGTGAATGATTGATGTACAAAAACACAAACAAACTGCTGAGACTCACAATGCTTTTTTGTTTTTCAGGAGCATTTTATTGAAATTGGCTTCCCTGGGGATCTACTTAGTTTCTGTCTTCAGATCAGATCTCAATGTGAGTCAGGGATGATATTTGACATTTCACACACTGAACTCATAACACATACACTTAAAGCCTGGGTGTATTTCACTCAGACATTCACAACTTGCAATTCTGGTGAAGTTCCTTTATATGTTTCTTTTTGGCAAAGGTTGTGATTCATGTTTTATTTTTATTTTTTTCAGCGAACGTCTCAATGCAGGGAAAACCAGTTTGGCAGAGAGATGTACAAGCTGTGTATCTTCAACTTCATTGCAACTTTCTGCAGCACTTTTCTTTTGAATTTCCCCAGGAAGTGGGTTTGATTGAACTCAACAGTGTTCATTCTTAAGTCATGATGCTGTTTTAAATGGAGGACCAAAACTTGCATAATTAGAAATTCCATTAAAAAAACTAAATTAATTCTATGTACAATAAAAAATACAATAACATGAAATGAAAGGTAGCAGAAAAAAGAAAAAATCTTATAATATTTGCC